CCACTGCACTTTGGTTCCCAAAGTTGGGCTTGGGACCCAATTATGGGTCATGAAGCACCTTGGATAATCTCCAGAAATCAATTTAAAGGGTAATAAAATAATTGCTGATGTAACATTTTCCTTATAATTATTACAAAAACACAAAATAAGTATGAATAAGTATTTATATTTGTGTATAAGCTGTTTAGGTTGTCAAAAAGCCTGTGTTTTTATGGTTATTAAAGAAGTTTGTGTACTCAGAGCAGTAATATTTSGGGTCACAAGTTTTTGCCATGAATATTTTGTGGGTCAGAAGATAAAAAGTTTGGGAACCACTGGTCTAGAGGATCATCACAATAAAAGCAGGGGTTGCAAACCCACTCTGGGTCATGAAACACTGATTGGGTTCTTAACACTAGGGTTGGGCAATATTGGCAAAAAATAAAATAAAATAATTAAAATAAAAAATCACTAATTGTGGTATTTAGTCAATAACGATTAATGTGAAGATTAATTCCGTGGAGTTCCTGGACTCTAGTGGGAAATCACTCCATAAAAATCTGTTCCAATTTGTGTCAAAAGTGCAGCCTTAAAGCTTTAGAAATGTTTTTAAATCACGTTGATTGGCTGAGTCAAACTGGAGTTATGATAAATAATTGACAGCGCTTAAAAAAATGTTTGTCATATCTGAAGCGCGTTGCATCGCGAGGCACTGAAAGACGGACAGATTCATGGAAAAACCACCTTAATCCACCCTCTAGACTCATCCCTATCCTGCCGAATTAACATAAAATTCCTAAAYTCCTTTCTGACTGACGCCTGAAATTATTTGATAAGTATTAATAACTTGACAGGATGAAGAAAATAAAAAGACGCGAAAATTGAATGAAGTTCGACAGACACACAGCAGGGGCAGGACTGAGTTCGATTTAATGACAGATTTAGCGACACGTTTGGATTTTATAGTTCTGGTGTGTCAAGTGCTAAGTTTTGTCACTTTTGACTTATGAGTAGCAACTCCAYATCCTCTACTGTTATAAATATATTCATAAATAACTAAAAAAAAAACGWGTCTATAAAATTGTTGATGAGGTTCAGTTTTAAAGGAMTTATTTATGTTTGTAAACTTTAACCAGCAATAATCAGGATCACACACAGAGCCAGTGCATAGGCAGTGTAGGCAAACACTAAGGGTGCCGTCCATCTACAGGGCGCCAGAAATGAGGGACAAGAAATCTATTTTATAATTTTTTATCCAGTTATAKTCGATTTAGTCTGTAGAATAATCACTGATTGATCGAGTTTATGAAGGTTATTAGTTCTGAGTTTCTCAGCTGCTTTGTTCCTACGTGAGGTGTATTATGGTGATAAAAGTATCATATAATGCAGTCAAGACTGACTACTGGTGCTCAGTGTGTAAACAGGAAACAATATAAGAATAACAGAAGTTTAATTTATGATCTCAGATCAAGTTCAGGTTAAAGTCTGGTTTTCAGTGTTCTGCCTTCATAAAATACAGATTTTATGTTGTGTTCTTAATCCCAAAAATGTAGGAAAATGCTCTTAAAATKGATGGAAAATGCATAGTTTTAGTGTATAGTGTTGGATAAAAAAAATTCCAAGGGAGTATAGCACGGGACACCCCTAGAACTGCTTCACTCCACAGCTGCTTGTTAACATGAAAGGTGTTCCTTCATGCTGTCAGCAAATGTTGGTAGGTATGAGGTAGATTTCTGGTATTCTGTTTCAAATTAATTGTATTAATTATTTTAATTGGACAACCTGGTTTATAAAAATAAATAAATAATCTCAAAGACAAAACTATTTCATTCGGTATGTGAATGTTTGTAAATCGGCAGTGAGATTTACAGAAACTCACAAGAGGCGCCACCTGAAATCGTGCCTTGGGCCGACCCTGACATTAGCGTGAGCTCAGTGTGCTCACTGCAAACAATTAATAATGACAGACCTCCTCACGTTTATTTAGAGGGTCGAAAGCCAAACTATTTGGGAACCGCTCATGTAAAATAAATTTTAAACAAAAAAGTGTGAAGGTTTTTGTCGTTTTAGCACTTTAGTTCTGAGGATACACTAACTCTGTTCAACTGAGATCGAAAACTCTCACTTAGTTTTTAAAAAATTGAAAAATAAAATTGGGGGGTGAGCAGCGAAACTAATAGATGCAACATTTTTCTCTGTGGTGAAACAAACATGCTGAGGCCGGGAGGACACGGTGGCGGGAGGAGGACCAGGAAACTTACGACTGCATGCAGGGAAGGAGTTGTTAATCTGCTCCATTACATCTGCCAGGTCAGAGCTGCTGTTGTGAGGGTCCAGCAGCTCATCTGAACACACACACACACACACACACACACACACACACACACACACACACACACACACACACACACACACACACACACACACACACACACACACACACAGATTTACAGATACCGGACACACTCCATCACACTTCCACAAAGAGCAACAAGTTTCTGGTCGGGGCGTGCTGTGATTGGACCTTCCGTGTAAAAAGCTGTTAAATGTGGCCGATTTAATCTTGAGGATAGACGCCGAGCGTGTGTGTGTGTGTGTGCGTCTCCTAGACTTTGAGTGTCCCACCTGAGCTTTCATTAAGCGGTCCTCGATCTTGTACCGTGGGAGAAGACGCTCCGTTCAGCCTGGAGTCCACCTCCGGCTGAGATAAAAGACAAACACAACCTCCGTCAACGTAATGTGATTATTCTGCTTGGCAAATTCTGCACAACTTTAAATTTGATGATTCACAGCAGGACATGAAAAGAAGAGAACGCACGGGGAAGGAACAACGAGGTGGTTCTCATTTGTACAAAAACAACTGCACAACAAATCCCTGCCAACGTCTCCGACTAAGAATAAAAAGCTGCACTGTGAATCAYACTGAAGCCCCTCAGAGGATATTTGTCTGAGTGCAACAGTAAAAGAAACTCCAAGACTCTAATATGAAAGATTGAAATGAAAATTATGAAACGCTGCCAAAAGATTTGGCAACTGTTATTGCGCTCGCATTGAAAGAAACAATATAAAAGTTTAATAGCGCTCCTTTAATGCTATTTGCTCAAAGCTTTAGAGGAAAACACAAAGGTTGAAGCTGAGACAGCAGATGAACTGCGATAATCAGACAGACGGGTTTGAGTCTCAGAGGGGTTTCGGCAAAAAACTTTACCGCTTCGAGAAACTTTTTTTTCGTACCATTTTGATTCAAAGTACTTCACAAACAAAACGTTTAGTTCCACTTTGATGTTCACAAAGTGCACTTTCACAACAACACTTCAAACGGGAGCAGCTCACAAAAAAAGATGATAATTTGTCATTATTAAGCTACAGATTAATTAAACACTTAATTCAAGCTAAACTGGCATAATAAAGTTTATTGTCTAACACAGGTAAGTACATGTTTCTAGTTTGGTATCATTTATGACAGGCCTTCACATTGCCTTGAGCTTTTTTAGCAGAAAGAAACAAAAACATTTCTCCTCTAATAACCGTTGTTTCCGTGTCCTGCTGCTCGCAGAGCATTAAAAGCATTGGAGGCATCCCAAAGGCAACAACTGTTATCTCTCTGCACATCTCAGGATAGCTGAGGTCAGGGCTTTGGTTGGCCTTGGAGAAAGTAAATTTAATGCGCTTCATCAACCTGGCTGACTTTTCTTTTTTTTTCAGGCTGGTGTTTGTCAGCAGCTCACTGCAGCTGAAGGGAAGACACGCTGACATATTGTTACGTCTCTGAGGACTCAGACGTCAAACACCACGAGTTGTTASAGAGGTGTTGTGCACAAAAGTAGGTGCGCATGCATTTTTCTCTCTCGCAGACGCTTGAATGATTCCCAGTAAAAACTGTCCAGTAAAGAACCAGAGTTCTGTCTTCACTGACTGCAGGTTTACTCGTGGTTCTTAGAGTTTCTAACAAACTTCCAGTTTTCTGTCCTTGAGGTTGACATTCTGTCTATGTTTAAGGCTTAAAATGCTATTTTTTGATAAATCCTCTAGCTTGTGTTGGTTTCCTGAACCATCCTTTAGCTACTCTGCTGTAGGCTGACACTGCTGACCACATTTCCTGGCTCTGCTGCTGTCTTTACGYTCTCCACTCCATGTCTGTCCAGGTTATTGTCACTATTTATGTWCCCTACACTTCTTAAAAGAAGCCACATCTGAACCGATCCTTCTGTTATTTTCTTGTTTTTTTTTTTCTGTGTACCATTACATATCTCTCCTATTATGTATTTATTTTAGAAGTTTGAAAATGTTTTAAAGTGATCCACGATTAGTTGTAACATTAGACTTTATTAAATAAACATATATTTTAACTGTAAAATAAAGATGGTAAAAATACTGTAGGMTGTTCAGTTTTTATCATTTTTAAACTAAAAGTTTAAAAATATTTTAGACGGACAGAGCCATTTTATTTACACACAAAGCATTCTGGGTAAATGATGACATAGATAGGTCATTGTTGCGAGGCTGCTAGCGAGCTATATCCACCCTGAAGGTTAATCTTGGACAATATCTGATGATCGACTCTTTTAAATGAAACCAGAGAGCGTTGACAGAGAGGAGAAGGTAGAAATGACTCAGCCTGGAACTGAAAATATAGATGGAGGACAACAGAGCTGCTTCATGGAAGAAGAACCTCAGCTTAGCCTGTTAGCTTTAGCGTTAGCCCCAACGCTATCACCATAGCTCAGTGCTACACATTCTCCTCTCATCACTGAGGTCCTCCATCCACATGACAGAGAGGGGAACGCAAAAATGACTCAGTCTGCAGCTGAAAATATGGATGGAGGACCTCAGTTTAGCTTGTTTGTCGCGCTAGCACTGAGCTAATACATATAAGGCAATATAGGGTCGGTGCTAGTGCAAAGGCTAACAGGTTCTTCTTCCATGAAGCAGCTCTGTTGTCCTCCATCCATATTTTCAGTTCCAGGCTGAGTCATTTCTACCTTCTCCTCTCTGTCAACGCTCTCTGGTTTCATTTAAAAGAGTCGATCATCAGATATTGTCCAAGATTAACCTTCAGGGTGGATATAGCTCGCTAGCAGCCTCGCACCRAGGACCTATCCACATCATCATTTACCCAGAATGCTTTGCGTGTAAATAAAATGGCTCCGTCTGTGTTAAAATATATTTTTAAAAATTTACAAAATTAAAAAGCCTACAGTTTATTTTACAGTTAAAATATATGTTTATCAAATAAAGTCTAATGTTACAACTAAACAGGGATCTCTTTAAAATGTACAAAATGTGAACGTATTGTACTTTAAGTGGAGTTACATGACACAGTTTGACTTATTTTGGTTGTATTGTGCTTATATGAAAGATTAGGTAAATGAAGTTCTTTAACCTGGTGCAGAAGCTGTCGAAGGCGGTGGAGCTGAGACTCCAGCTGCTTGTTGTGTTCCTCCAGGATGTGCATGCGGGCCTCCAGTCGGCCTTTGTGTTGCCGCAGCAGCTTGGCTTCAGCTAGCAGATCGGCCTCGTTGGGGTGAGCGGAGGGGCTCTCCGACTCCCACGGGCTTCCAGCAGGGACTCCTCGTTGGCCATGCTGCTCCTTCAGTTGCTCATACTCCCTCTGCAGCGTCCTGGAAGAGTCAGGGTTAAAGTGAAAAATCAAACAAACAAAAAAAAAATGCAGCATATGGAAAATCATGGAACGCTCTATTCACCACCAGATCACATAATGAGCGAGAATCTTCATTTCCAGCTTTCTTCCCCATTGTTGATTATTACAAATATCTATTATAAGTGTAATTATCTATGAAAACGTTCTCCAACGACATTCAACAGCCTCATCCTGAACACTTACGGTTCGCTTCCTTCTCATGTTTACCTCTGCTTTCTGCTCTCTCAGTTAATTCCTATTGATGTGGGTAGACAAACACAAAGGGCCCTCCCGTCCAAATCTCCTGCCGTCCTCCCTCCTCAGCCTCTCCATCTCAGTGCAGAAGCATAAGCCGCAGTGCTTTGCTTAAGTTGGCATTTATGAGCCTGGCATAAAGCTCTCTCAGTCCTCCCAGCTCCCCCAGAGAGTCGGTGTATGCGTGGAATCAGTGTTAAATCACAGAGCAACTGGCTCTGCAAAAAGCATCTACACAACAATAGACTTTGCAGTCCTTCTTTCTTTGTGTTTTTTTTTATATATATGCTGGAATGGAGTGGCAATTGAGATACTGGCGTTACAGAAAGTGTGTATTTGAAACTTTAAGTGTACGCACTTAAAGGGAACTCACTAGTTGTAATATTAGACATTATTTGATAAATATTTACTTCAACTATATAACAAAGACTGTAAAAATACTGTAGGATGTTTAGTTTTTTTTAATTTTCAAAAATATATTGTCACACGGGTGGCGACATTTTCTTAACTCCGCAAAGCAATACGAGGCAAACGAAGACAATTATTTGGTGCTCCGGTGGGAGCGAGCACTTTGAAAGTTAACCTTGGACAATATCTGATGTTCAGCTCTTTTAAATGAAACTTTGACACAGAGGAGGACGTAGAAAAGACTCAGCCTGAAACTTAAAACGATGGAGGACAACAGAGCTGCTTCATGGAAGGAGAACCTCAGTTTAGCCTGTTAGCTTTCACATTAGCGCCCAAGCCAATACATATATGGTGATACATAATTAGCTATATAAACTAACGCCACATATTTGTTAGTAATTAATAAATATATATACATTTGGTGTTAATTCCTCTGCTAACATTGTTAGCCTGGGCGCTAATGCTTGCAGCTACTACACCTAATAAACGTCATCATTTACCCAGTATGCTATGCAGAGTAAAAAAATGGCGCAATGTGACAATATATTTTTTTAAATTTACAAAACCTAAAGCCTACAGTATTTTTACAGCCTTTTACAGTTACAAATAATATCTAATGTTACAACAAGTCAGGCTTCCTTTTAAATTAAGTGAAAATTTTAATAAAATGCACAAGATGAAGATCTTCGAAATAATACTTGGTCAACATATCACATGAGCCGTGACGATCCATCTTCAAAAAGTGAACCAAACGCACGCAGAACCTTCCACATTTCCAAAGCAGTTTATACCTCTGCTCCTCCTCGAGACGAGCAATGATCCGCTCCAGCTCGCCCCGCTCCTCCCTCTCCACGGCCTGMAGGATCTGAGCAGGACTCTGGGGCTGGCTGCACGGCGAGCTCTCCCCTCCCAGCGTCTGGCAGTACTGAATAATCAGGGCGTGCTCGTCATCCCTGTCCAAAACAATAAAATAAAAATAAAAAAAAACTGCAGAAAGATGTGATGAGTGAGGACTCCCAACATCTTGTCCATGTCAKTTAGTCTGGTCACTTTCTGATGAGTTAGTGAGCAACGGTTAAATAATCCACTTAAGTGATTTACAGCGGRAAAAAATGCTCTTTCTGAAACATCTGAGCACCAATGTTTCCGCCTGGTACCACTCAAAATAATATTTTCTCAGACAGCACTGAGATTGTACTCTTAACAATCACTATGTTTGAGTCAGATCACACAAAAAAACTTGTCTCAAATTATTAGTCTTTTATGAGAAYCACATGAAAATGCAATCCTCTCCTTTTTTTAATTCCAGTTTAAATTCTCTCACTGTTCCTGTCTATTTAAACCATTTAAACTTTTTTTTGAATAAATCAATATTGTTATAAAGCACTTGGTGAACACAGCTGYCAGCTTGGCAATATTTAGCTAATTTCCAAAACTCATTCAGCTTTTCTCCCTTTTCTGTTCAGAAACGCTCAGATCAATAAACTGAGCAACTTAAAAGGAAAAAAAATCACTTCATTTAGAAGTGACCTGGATTTCTCAAATAAATAAATAAAAATGAATGAATCAATGAATGAATGAAAATTCGAGTATTTTTCCCCCTCCTGTAAGCACACTTTTCTATGGAGCCCGTGAGGGGACATGGGGGATTTTTTTTCTTTTTGCGTTCCCACGCAAAAGTATTGCGTTCCCTCGCAAAAGTCAATAAACACTGCTGTGCCTGCTGGTTTATTAATAACTCGCATGTTTACCATTAGCGAGTTAGCCTACTGCTTTAATTCAGCTTCAGAATGAATATATCACACAACCACGYATGGAAGTATGTCATATGTYGATATTTTAACACCGTACAGCCACGCAACATCAATGTCAATTTCATGAACTTGTGGCGACACATCCTGTTTTGGTAACCGGATATTTCAAAATAAAAGTCTKATTTAATTCAGTTCATATAAAAATCTAACTTTTGCGTGGGAACGCAAAACAATATTGTGAGGGAATGCAAAAGAATTGCGAGGGAACCCAAAGGTATTGCATGGGAATGCAAAATACAAAAAAATCCCCCATGTCCCCTCACAAGCTCCGTATTTTTCTTACAATACCCAGTGTGTGGGTGAATATATGAATTTGGTCTGGGAAACATTACGACACTTAAAACACAATTTATCTCAGCATCGGCTTAAAAATAGGCAACTTGGGTCTTAGTTTTAGTTGTGATTTTTAAAACGAATTTATCATCTGACAGTAACACACAGATGTGTAAATTATAGCAGTGTTTTCATTTCAGCTTTATTAAAAACATTATTTGGGAGCACAGAGAATATGAGACAAACTTTAAAAAAATCCATATTATTATTACATTTAGATTTTACAGTGGCAAACTGTGACAAACTGTGGCCTTCAGCTTGGATAAAACATGCAGTCATTAAATGAAGAACTGTCTTAATCGTCTCTGTTAAAAGGTTTCCCATTTAGGCCTGAGTGTCCATAAACAAGTGTAGTGTCCAAGAGTGGGGGGCCTCTTTTCAGGAATGCACAGATGTGATGTCTCAGTTTCCAGCGTCAGAGCTCGGCACATATTACCATATTAGGAAGAAGGTATACCGTGACAAAATTTATGGTACATCTGTTGGACTACACTATAAAGAGCCTTGTATGCCCCTGCTCTTTGCCTTCGTTCTCCATCTTTCTTACTTGGTGAATCATTTGGCATTAAAGGCCATAATTTGGKTTTTGGCTGTAATCTCCTGGACTGCAAAATAAAGATTCTTGCTGTTCAACCAGCCTGTTTCAGAGTTCTCTCTTCATTGAGCAACAGCAGTTCCACTTGAACCAGAAGACGTGGTTTTTTTCACCTCACAAGCAAAGTAAACAGCAAATAGGTGAAGCTGATTTGCTGTTTGGGATCTTTAACTATGGCTCGACTGCTACACCGTACACTACGTATTCCCGCGTGGGACAAATGTCAGTCTGTGTGCTTTTTGCTTACAGAAATAGGAACTGGGAGATGTTGGGAGCAGGGCAGAGACAGAGGTTGGCTGAGAGATGAAAAGATGTGGAAGGAAAGAYGGAGAAACGGCTGCTGACACGCGGCTGTAAGAGTGTTCATCTGGACGTCTTTTCATGTGTCACCGAAGTGATAAAGGGAAGAGTTGGCGAGTCTTCGTAAATCCCAGCTGTCAGCTTCGTTCTGAAGCACGTCTTTCCTCCCAGATTAATCCTTGACAACCACACTTAAAGGAAAATAAGATGGCTGACTCTAAATGATATATTCATCGTTAAAATGAACTTTTCTTAAAGGAAACTTTGACAGGATGAAGTTAAGTTTTGTTGAAATAGTTTAGTAGCTCCATATAKTTTATTGGTACTTAGACTTCCTGCGTTCTTAATTTTTTTAAAAGAACACATTTTTTGCTGCAACCTGTTCAATAATAAATCTAAAGACACACTTCAGTATAAAACAGCTTTTTATTTACCGTTTGAACTGCTGCAATCATGTTTCAAATTAGCAGCTACAAAACTGTATTCCAACATTAAACAAACATGGAAACAGATGAAAAAGGATTACAAACTACTTTAATCAGAGAAGTGCCAAAAGAGACACTAGAGTGGCTGGTTTGTGATTTATCACTACCAGCCACCAACCACAAAACAACAAGATCATTTCATCTAAACAGTGGAATCATTCCAGTATTCACTTCGGGTTTTTTTAAGAAATAGATGTGATAAACTGTTTTGTTGTTGCCACAAGACTGCTTGTTTTTCTTGTTTAATAGATTTTTCTTCTAGCCRTTTTACTATTATTGTTTTCCTGTGTTTGATAAATTAACTATGTAAGGTTGCTGATTACCAAAAACAACAGAGAGGAGGCTCTTAAATGTACAAACGTAAAAAGTTTTAGTTGACTCTAATGTTCGGGGAGATATTCTGGCTCGGTTGTAGGAAATAAACGAGTAAATTATTTAAACTAACAGTTTTTACATGTGACATGCTTGAATTTATATGTATTAGGAACATAGTCAAAAACGCAATTTAATAAAACAAAAGTAATTATTATACTTTAAAACCAAGGACTGAAGTGAACAAAAAGGAGATTTTTGACTCTTTTTTAAGTCAGAAGTCTTCCCTTATAAACTCAGGAAAAAACAACTATTTATCACTAACTTGTCAAACGGTCAGTGCTATTTGCTTAATATACTGATATTGACGGTAATGGCGGCACGACGGCTCAGTGGTTAGCACGGACGCCCCACAGCAAGAAGGTCCTGGGTTCAGTCCCCATGTCGGACCTGGCGTCTCTGAAGTTTGCATATTCTCCTCGTGCTTGCTTGGGTTTTCTCCTGGTACTCCGGATTCCCCCACAACACAAAACATGTACAACAGGTTGTCTTCAGGCCCAGGCCTCCCTTGAAAAAGAGATCTGAGATCTCAACAGGACTTGCCTGGTTAAATAATGGTACATAAATAAGAAAATACTTCTTTTACAAAATGAAAATATATACATTTTTAACAAATTTTGGCTTCTTTAACCAGTCGTTTCTTGCTATTTAGTATTTTCTTAACTTTTTGGACATCTGTTGTCATTTGAAAGTATCTTGCCTTCATATTTTGTAAAACACAAAATTTTTGAAACTCTCCATTAGAATGACAAAGGAGAAACCAGAGATAGAAAGAGAAATGTGACCCAGCCACTGCTGCAACAAGAAGAAATCCAAACACATACAGACACATACACACACACATTTTTTATTCTGAGATCTGCTCTGACAGGACAAACAATGATGATGAAAAAAGGCTCCTGGAGAGAAACCTGAGAATTGGTGCATGTGTTGTTTGCTGGGGTTCGGGACAGAGGGTCCTGTAAACACTGAGTAACCAATTAGACGGGTTCCTGGCAACTCGGGGGGCTGGCAGGGGAATCCAGATGACAGCAAGAAGTGGGATCATTACAAGTGAAAATGGGAAGGGTAGGGGGTGGAGACGCCTGAAAATCTTCACCTCAGAGATACTGAGTGGAAAAAAAAAATCTGGAGACAGAACAATACTGAGAAAAATGATGCTGGAAGAAAGTATCGGGGTGACAAATGAATTACCGTATTTATTCGTGTTTAATACGATCTCATGTATAATACGACCCCCACTTTCTGAGCTTAAAAAGCATAAAAAAATTTAATCCTCAAACTGCCTCCAATTTCACACAGACTTCAAGATTTTTCAGCCTTTGTGGTCTTTATACATATCCGTAAAATGATCATTGGACTGTTCATTTTATTTTAACAACATATGTACTAAAAGGTATTTTGACAACAAATATATATCAGCTGTAGCAGCATCATATGAATTCTGGTATTTCACACATAGTCCACCAGGAGGCGCCAACACAAAAGTCAGAGACTTCACGTGAGATTTGGGCCATCTTGTGGGGGAAAAGCAGATTACTTCCTACTCGCGAGCGCCCCCTCTGGTGGGGAAACTTTTTTCAGAGATACAAACCCTTTCAGAACACCGGTAGACGGCAGCCATTACAGACGAACATGTTTGTTGTTGTTCGAGGAGCGGCCCGGTCACACGCTAATGTCATTAGTTCTTTATCATTACTAAGGCTCAGGACTGCTTTCCCCCCCTTTTTTCACATCATGTCGCCTGCCTGGATCTGTTATTATTTCGCTCTGAAGCACAGAGGAGTGTCAGAGGTGAGCTCGCTTCAGCTGCTTTTTACGACGTGGTTTCATTTCCGGACTCAGGCATTTTGTGAATGAAGCCGATATTTTAGTAAAAATATATAGGTAAAAATATTTATTCGTGTATAATACTACCCCCCAACTTTATGGATGATTTTATGGATTAAATTTTACGTATTATACTTGAATAAATACGGTAAATGTAAATAATGGTGAGGCTTTAGGATCGCTTGGTGAGGGTGCGTGCCTGAGCGAACCCAATAATAGTTTCC